CAATGGACTCAGCTGCGATTGGATTCTTGTGAATCTGGTCTGTGGATACTGCAGCAGATTCACCTTTTTCAAGTTGCATAGATTCTGCGGTTTGTTTGTTTTACTTTATTTATGCAAATAGATTTATGCAAATGTGTATTTCTGCATGAACACATTTGCAAACCAACAACAGGCATGTATGAAAAATCCAGTGCCATCAATGAGCAGACAAAGGAGTGAAAAACACATTAAAACTTATGATGCAGAGAACGGGTTTAACAAAATTAATACATCCCTAGTTCAGTATCATGGGACTGCATCAAAACAGAACATTAATCATACTTCACTGATGGCTTGTCGCCCTACCCAGGGTGTGTTAGGAGATCAAACCAATCAGAAACTGGCAGGACTTCCTGCCAGTTTCAGTGGCATCCCTACCACCCTCTCTTGGGCTGGCAAAACAACCTATGAATAACCCCTGGATTCTGGGTTCCCACTCAACAATCACCCATTGTTTAAACAACCCAGAATTCACAACTCAACTTTAAATCATGGATTCTGATTCTCGGTTGTTTGTTCATGATTAGCACCCATGGTTTGTTAGCATGGCTGGGTATGCATGTCACAACAATCCAGAATGCAACAACCCATACTTTACAATAGTGTTATCTAGAAACCTTGTAGATAGATATTACTCCCACAGCATTTTTAAGGGCTTTATAAAATAAAATACAGATAATTCCTTTTTATTAATAATTTAACATGCTCCATCATACTTCTTCTTAATGGTCTTTGTGCATCACACATATGTGCTCTGTGCCTAAAGGATCCTGGGGAACCATACAGAAAGTTAGGAAAGTGTAAAACCATGGGAAGCTTGAGAGACAGTGTGGAGTAGTGGTTAAGAGCATGGGAATGGGACTCAGGTGACCTGGGTTATAGTCCCTGCTCAGCCATGGAGCCAACTGGGTGACTCTCCACCACTCACAGACTCTCAGCCCAACCTCTACCTCACAGGGTTCCTTTTATGGGGATAAGACTGAGAACAGCAGAAGAAGAATGATGTAAGCCACTTTGAGACCTTTAAAAAAGAAGGTGGGATATAAATCTAATGAATGAATGAATGAATGAATGAATGAATGAATGAATGAATGAATGAATAAGTTCTCCAACATCCTGGCCAGTGGGCAACAGAACTGCAGCAGACAAAATCAAAAGCAAGCATGGAAAGACCCAGTTTGTTTAGGTCCATTTTTTCTGATAGTGGTCCCTGGGTCTGAAAGGATAATGCAGAGTTGGAAAGATGCAGAAAATTGGCAGCTAAAATGACCAGGGGGGTTCTAGCATTTTCTTTGTAAAAGTCTACAGTAGTTGGGGCTTCTTTAATTTAGAAAAAAGCTATGAGAGAGGCTTGTGGGGGAAATCCATGATTCCAATTGTTGTTATTTAAATATTTTTCTCTATCTCTCGATGAAGGGAAAAGAAACATGCCTGTAATCAGCTTTACAAGCTGTGCGTGAATGGTCTCCTTGTCACACACCCCTTCTGTTGTTCTTGTTGTTGTGTGTTGCCAAGTTGCCTCCAATTGATGGTGATCCAATGGATGACTGCCTTCCACGATGCCCTGTCCTTCACAGCTCTGCTCAGCCCTTGTAAATTCAGAGCTGTGGCTTCCTTCAGGGAATGGATCCATCTCAGGGTCACTCTTCCTCTTCTTCTTCTGCCTTCGGCTTTCCCCAGCGCAATGATCTCCTCCAGGGAGTCTTGCCTTCCCATGAAATGCCCAAAGTAGGACAGCTTCAGTTTTCTCATTTTTGTTTTCAGAGAAATCTCTGCCCTTGATTTGATCTAGGACCCGCTTATTCATCTTTCTGTTGGACCAGGGTATTCAAAAAGCTTTTAGCTCTTCATTTATTGGCTAAAAGAACAGAGATTCACCTGTCTGTTAGCTGTCCTAAAAGACTGGTGGGTTCATGCTAAGCAGAAGAGTACAAAAATTACAGCAAAAGCTTATTAAATAGAAGTGATTTTCTAATACATCAACAGTAGTCTGCACAGAAGAAGCTCCTTTGAGCTGGAAATGAACTGGCAAACCTGTGTAATTTTGCAATGCAACCCCCACAGTCAAACTCAAAGCCTTGCTCATCATTCCCAATCTCATCGCAGCAAGTGTGACAGCTGCTGAAAGATCAGAGCTGCTCAGGGCACAATCTTGTGGCCTCTCAGCACTTGTGAGCTCGGGAAACACTCCAAGGTCAGAGCTGGGACTTGGACCTCAGAGGGCCCTTCCTCCATTCTTTTGGCCACTCCACTCTTCTTTTTATCTTGGGATGGTTTGATGTATTCATTAGGTATTTATTATATTGTGAGCCGTCCAGAGACGACTCTTATTGGATGGGATAAAAATATCCAAATAAATAAATAAATAAGAAAAAGGAGCATACGAAAAGCCATGCTGGATCAAACCAAAGTTCTATCTAGGCCAGCACTCTGTATCCACGGTGGCAACCCAGCTGCCCACAGAACTGCCTAAGCAGGATGGGTGCAAGACCCCTTCCTCCTGCCCAAGCTCTTCAGCAACTGGTGTATGCAGGGGGTAACACTTAGCCGAGAACCACCCCGCAAGGAATGAGAGGGGTGGCAACCCGGCGAAGGGCCTTTTCTGCTGCAGTCCCCATCTCTGGAACTCCCTCCCTAGGGAAATTCACTTGGCGCCACCTCTATTTTCCTTTCAGCACCAGGCAAAGACAAACCTTTTAAGGATTTTTTTAAATGTTTAGCCTGAATGCTGTGGCACTTTTTAATTGATTTTATAGATGTGAAATTTATTATGTTTTAATTGGTTTTTAATGTGTTTTTACTGTGTCGGTATGTTTTAACATTGTAAGCCGCCTAGTGAGGCCTTGGCAATTATAGGTAGCCCATAAATATATGTAAATAAATAAATAGTCACTGGTACCCCCTCTTCCATAAATTTGCCCAATTGCCTTTAAAAGCCATCCAGCCCTTTCTAATGCAGTGTGTAGGACCAGTAGATCATGCTTTATGCTGATGCCTTCATTCATAAATACATGCATTCATTCACCGCAGTGTGGAAATGGGTGTTAGGTTCCTTTCTTGGATACATCCATGGTGAAGCTGTTCTATGCCTTTGTGGGAAGCTGTACTGGACAGCACAGGCCAAGGTGGCAGAATGCGGGACAGATCTAAATTGTCTAAGATGTCCTCCTCCACCAGTCTCCAATGAAATGCAATGGAGTTGTGCAAGATACTTCTTTGCGCTTCTACATCTCCAATTCATTTCAGTGGGACTTTGGGTGGAGAACTTTCTGTTCCCAGTGAACTGAGTCCCATATTAATTTTAGAGATCCTGCTTCAAGCACCAAGGTGTCTTGGGAAGCCCTGAGAAGTAGAGAAAATACATGCTGCTTTGGGTTTGCCATCTTGTGTGTAGATAGACACACACACATACACACACACACACACCTAAAATGGCACATTTTCTCTGGCATTAATTTGGTTAAACCATTTTAAGGGCTCCGCATACATTTCTACATTCATACACACTGATTGATTTCTGAATATCTGGAGGCAAATGCCCTTAAAAAAGTCTTGCAGAAGATGCTAAAATGGACAGGCCGTGTGATCATTCCTGCCATAAGCCAGAAATATAACAAGAGGCACCACCATGTGGTGCTGACTGTCAACTACAAGTGATAGACTGACTGAACAGAATGAGGAGTGCAGACACTGAGATTCCCTTCCTGCTGGTTCTTTCAGCTGATGCGGTCCAGCGCTTGGCTCATTTGCAATCCATCCCATAATGGCAGCCCTATTTGCAAAGACAGTGGATATCCTAAATCCCTGCTGATAATAGGAAAGCATCTTACCAAAGGTTTCCACAGAATGTGCTTTCTCCAAAGGGCCTCCTATTTACCTGATCCAATGCATGCATAGCCGTGTGCTGTGACATGATTAATTCTTTGCCTGGAGGCTTCGTTTGCACTGGGTGTTTGTGTCTGGGTGGCGAGACGCTCAGGAGAAAAGACATGTAGAAATAATTGCCAGTTACATGCATTTTAATTGGGCTTGTTCAGAGCTAGAATACGGGCTTGGTTCTGCACATCATGCCAACGGCAAAGCCAACGGCTGGTTCTAGCTATTGCTTGTGAAGGCCCACCCCAAAAGGTCAACATGAAAATCAGGCAACACCCACAGAGTGGTGGGGAACTTTGGTCGAAAGCCTTTGGGATGTTCAAGCAGGCACAGTCTGCCAGATCATCCCATTAACATTTGCGAAGAACTCTAATGGATTAGCGAGAGACGACTCTTCCTTTCAGAATCCATGTTGAGTCTTTCTCAGCAGGGCTTGTCCTTCTGTATGCTTGTTCATTTTACCTTGAATCATGCTTTCCCCAAGGAAGCAGTCAGCTTTCCTGGATCTGAACCAAGATAGATCATTGCCTCAGTGTGGTCTTCGCCTGGGGCAAGGAATTTTTTTTAACGACTGGGCTTCACGTTCCCACAAGGGTAATCTCTCAGATGTGACACGAGGGTGGTGGGCCCTGCTGACACCAGTGGTGGGCATGGTTCAGCCAAAGGTAGACAAGCTCCTCACTTCGGTGTTCTAGGAATGTCAGAGCCATGCTGGGTCCAGCTAATCCAGCAGTCCATTCATAGAGTGGTTGAACAGCAGCCTTTGGGAATTTGCAGTGTGGACATGAGCCCAACAGTGTGGCTTGTACTTCTACCAACACCCTTTTCCCAACATCACCACCCCTGCCGCCGCCGCCGCCGCCACCACCACCACCTCCTCTTCTCTCTCTCTCACTCTCTCTCTGTCTCTCTCCCCCCCCACCCAGCCACACACACACACTTCTTTCCTTTGCTGTCACAGTAGAGGGTCCAAACTGATGCTTTCAGGAACAGAGTGTGAGGAAGAAAAGAAGAGAGTGCTGACAAAAGCCGAAAATCTCAACCTTGTTGACAAATTGAAAGTTAATAAACCACCAGGGCCAGAGGGTATCCATCCTGGAATTCTGAAAGAACCCAAGTATGAAATTGTTGACCTTGTTGCCAAGATATATTGGGTCTTTTTTATCAGCTGTTTTTGGATGTTTTAAAAATTTCTGATATTTTATTGGATTTTTATAACCTGTTTTCATGGACTGTGTAAACCACCCAGAGTGCTATGCGGTGATGGAAAATGAGATAGATAGATAGATAGATAGATAGATAGATAGATAGATAGAAAGAAAATATATGTAACATGTCCCAAAGGTCAGCCCCTGTACAGAGGACTGGAGAATGAGTAGTGTAACAGTATTTTTGAAGGGATGCATGCGGATCTGAGAAAGTACAACCCAGTTAGCTTAATGTCTGCACTGGGTAAATTGGCTGAAATCATTAAAGATAAAATGAAGAAGCATAGAGAAGAACAAGTCCTCGAAAAGCCTTGGTCCAATGCTTTTTGACTGCTTCTTAAAGGGTATGGAATTAGCAGTAAGGGGCAAAGTTTGCTGCTGACACCAAACTACTTTGGGTGGTCCAATCCAGCACAAATCTTCTTGGACTCCGGTGTTCTCATCTGTTGGGCTTCTTCTGGGAAAAGCACAGTTCGCTTTTGCCAGAGGTTGGAAATGCTCTCTTGTCCTCTGGCTTTGAAATAAGGCTCAGGGCCTAAACTATTTGGTTGAGGGCTGCTGGGTGCCCACTGTTGGGGACTCTCTTGTATATTTGGCTATATGCTGACACCGGGTGGGGGGGCGGTAAGCATTAAACAGCAAATATAGTGAAGAGACTTGCTTGGACTGGGATCTGTCAGAATCCACATTGAGCAGCTGAAAAAAGGTGAAATTTGTTTATCTACTTGCAAACAATCCCTCTGTGGGTATCTGCCCTTCCCCTCCCACTCCCATTAGTGATGGAAGCATGCAATGTTAATGCTGGATACACCGAACAGACACCTTGGTTCTGTACTGACTGGCATTGGTCTTCCAGTGTTCCAGAAATGTCCATCTCAGCTCTGATCCTGGGATCTGATGTCCACTTCCCAGCCCTGATGTCCACTTGCAAAGCATGTGTTCTGCGGCTAACCCACAGCCATCTCCTTGAGCAATATTTATCTGTCTCTGTCAAGAAAGAATTTGGTGGCTCTCCAGCTCCCCAGGCTGAGAAGAGAGATGAATGCATGCAGAGCATACGCCTTGCCAACAAAGCGCAGTCCGTGTTGACGCCCTTATCTGAATTTCTTTCTTTCTTCTGCTACTGTGTGATTGAACATGGATGTTCTCCACAGAAAAAGAGCAGTGTTCTATTTTAGAGCAGGGGAAGGGAGACTTTTGGTTTGTAGGATTTCTCTTGCACTTGTTTTACTAGGACCCAGATGTCCACTACAAAGAGCCAGGTGCAAAATAATAGCTTAGGTGGGCAGACTGAAGGCCACCATGTAACTGATTCAACTCTTGGTTACTAACTCAAGAACAAGAGTGTATGGCCCAGGTTTAGTTAGGAAAAGTGTGTACCATAAAGGGAGAAATAACACTCTTTGCAGCTCTTTGATTCTCCAAATCCCCTTTTGGGGGTGGAGAACCACCTCTCTAGGCTTAAATCGAAGTTTTATTCTATGCTCATTTGTCCCAGGGAGGGGCCTTTGACTAGGGAAGAAAGTTTGGTTTTCCACTCTCCATGTGTGATAAGAATTAAGGAACAGCATGTATCTTGTGCTCAGGTCCAGCCCCAAACTTGTGATTAATCCATGCCTAGTCCATATGTCTTTCCCCACCCAAGACATAGGCCTTTCTGCATCTCCTTGCCTGCTCCCCACCAGCACTCCATGTGGACCCTCACCGAACAACCTTTCCACAATGCGTGAACACTCACCTTTAACCCTTATCATCTCTGTGAAGCCCGGCATGTTCTCAATATGGACACTGGATGTGAAGAAAGCGCAGCTGGGTAGAACATCCATGGGAACTCTGAGAAGGCTATCACGGTATCCCATAATACAAGTGAGCTGAGCCCAAGTAGTTGAGTTTGGCACCAGTTCCTAAGCCGAGTCCTTACATTCCAGAGCTGCCTTCCCTCAAGCCCCTTACTGCACTCCTGAAGATCAAACATGAGTTTAGCCTATAGCATGCACACTAATGTCTTTTCTCTTCCGCCTTTTCAAACTTCCATCACAAAGGGATGCAGGAATTTAGTCCTCTGTGAATATTTATAAGACCAGCTGCAATAGTTGAGTGTTTTGTCTTGTACCACCAGATATAAAAGCCTCATTCCAAGAAGAATACCCTGGACGATAGGACACAAGCAGTACACAATGGAATGCCTAGAGTTAAAATAAAACTAAAGACCATGTTACTCTATGAAAGTCTTTCAAAAATTAATTTTCAGCAACCCACGTAACACCAAGGGCTTAAATACTTTATTGACCAAATGTGCATTTGTAGACGTTCTTGCGGCAGCCATTTATCTTACCCCTGTACAACCCTCTTGCAGCCATAAATCTTTTCCCTGACTCTCCAAGCATTATTAAGGTGGCATGACTGCTTTTTCTTGTGTTCTCAACAAGCCAAATCTGAGGTTTTGTTTAAAAAAAAAATCATACACAGTAGGAAATGTAAGGGCTGCAGTTGTATCATGCATAGCATTGATGTCCCCATATAGAATAACCTGCATGGGAAAAATTGAGCATTGGAGAGTGAACTTGGTGCCAGCCTTCACAGCACGATCTTTGCAAGAGAACTTGTAAAATAACAGTGATTGACTTCGCTTGCACCATCGTTTGCTTCTCCTCTGCTGATCCATCAGTGTCACCGCTTTGTACCAGATTCTACAGAAATACCACTAGATGGAGCAAGAAAATAAAAGCATACTATAGAATGATCCAGGATAGTGATGTATGAAATTTCATTTCACTTTGCAAATCAACGTGGCTTCATTTACTCTGAGAATGAGAGCATGTTTTACAGGAAGGAGAGAGAGAAATTTGCATGTATAAATGGCCATAAGATCATTCAGATCCCCAACTCAATGGCCAGAAAGAGTTCCAGCCCTGGTGCTGCTGTTCCACACTCAGACCTTCCTCCCTTCTCTCGTAGTTGGTGTGAAAAGAGCAGGACCAGCTGCTTCTCAAAAAAAGCAACCTCAGAGAATGGATTTAGTGGGCATTCTGTGGGGCAGAAAGGAGAGAATGAAGTGGCACTTCAGCCCCATTTCCCTTCCAGTCCAAGTTGGACGGTGGCAGGCATCCCCACTGGATTATGCTTGTAGATGAGCAAAGGAAAACTGCAAATATCTGAACAGCTGCACACAGAAATGAACCCTTTTCTGAACACCAATACGTTTGGAGAATTCTGTTGAGAGTAATTGTTTGGAGGCACATGGACCCCAAAAGGAGAATTGTTGTTTGGAGCTTTGCTAGTGATGGACAGATAGGTAGCAGTGACCTGAAAGATGGTATGAAATAGATGGAAAGACGGTGTACTTTTGTTTTCTGAACCTTATACTTAGACATGGGGGAATGCCTAGTATTGCATTCACCAATTAATTGTCTTTTTTCCAAAGTGCTAAATATTTTTAAGCATATTCCCTACCTGCACAGTTGTTGTTGTTAGTTGCAAAGTTGCGTCCGACCCATTGCAACCCCATGGACAACATTCCTCCAGGCCTTCCTGTCCTCCACCATCCCCCGGAGTCCACTTAAACTCACGCCGACTGCTTCAGTGACTCCATCTAGCCACCTCATCCTCTGCCGTCCCCTCCTTCTTTTGCCATCTATTGTTCCCAGCATTAGGCTCTTCTCCATGGAGTCCTTTCTTCTCATTAGGTGGCCAAAGTATTTGAGTTCCATCTTCAGCATCTGGCCTTCTAAAGAGCAGTCACGGTGATCTCCTCTAGGACTGACCGGTTTGATCGCCTTGTGGTCCAAGGGACTCGCAGGAGTCTCCTCCAGCACCACAATTCAAAGACCTCAGCCTTCCTTATGGTCCAGCTTTGACAGCCTGCACAGTTACATTCCAAGAGACATTAAAAAAGGGAGAGGAGAGGAGAGGGTAAAGGAAATTGGAAAACTCAAGCAACAATTCCTAAACCATTACATATGTTTTTCTAAACCACCCAAATTTAACATGAAGAATTTCTGTTGGAAGGCTAGATAATATGACCTCCATTAGGAAGCTGCAAACACATGCAAAGTGTGAATGCAAGATGTTACAAGGATATTTGTGGTAGGTGTATCTCTGTGTTTTAAAAGTGCAATAACTTTTTTTAGGTGAAATCTCTTATAATAATAATAATGATGATGATGATGATGATGATGGTAAATATTTCTGGTTTCAGCTGTTCCTGTCCAAATTATGAGTCCTTCCTTCCATGTGGGCACACAGCTAGAAGTCATATAAAACTTATTCCCTCTGCACACACATAATTAGAATGCTTCATCCAACTATCTGCTTTAATGAAAAATTAAAGGAACTCAAAGCTAAACCCATCACTGCTCTATCTCCTGACCCTTCCCCCATGTAGCAAGTTGCTTGGCTGAAAGTGAATTACCTTTCCCCTCATTACTGGTGTGTCTAAGGCTGTGCCCACAGCTGCCAGGGCCTGAGATTTGATGGATGCTATGAAAATATCCCCCACCTGACCATCAGCAGTAAAAAGAAATCAGGGAGGTCTCCTGGCTGAGGCAGTCTGGAGGGACTCCAGCCTATTCAGAATTGTCCTGGTGCACAATCAGGTTGAAGATTCTCCATGCTTAGAGTGAGGAAATGGTGCAGTCATTTGGGGGTATGCAGGTAACAGTGTTGGTGAAGCTAAAATACTAGTTCAGGTGTGTTAAAGAGTGGAATGCAAACGTCAGGCAGTTTTACTGGGCAGATGGGAAACAGGTAAAACAGCTAGCCATTTGTAGCATCTAGACAACAGCAAAATAGGTTTTTTAGCATCTAGAAAAATGACGAATGAAACACCCTTAACACAAGGAGAGTCAATGTTAGTTTTCAAGCCCACTTGCCTGTCATCTATCTATTTTCTGGGAAGGTTCCATTTTCC